GAAGGGAAAAAAAGGATAAAAAGACAGCACTCTTTTTTCTATGAAGACTTTTTTCTCTGATCCTCAAATGCCAAAAAACTAATGTGTTTTTCCTTTCTTTTCTGCCTAACTTAGCTCCTTGTCTGGAAATTAAGCAACATGATTCTACATACAGAATAACATTTTGACTTCCTAAGGAAATACCACTGAAACACTTAGTACTGTTTGATATCTCTCTTGGGAAAGCAAAACACATTTATTAAATCATGCATGTTAACTCCAAAAGCTAACAGAAGAAAATAACTGCTTTATTCTTTCAAGAGAGGTTTTGAACAAACAGGTACTGTCACGGACTACTACGTACTGATCCTTCTTCGCTTATGCAACCGTGTAACACAGCATCCTTAAAGGATTTTCATGTAATATCACCTTTCATGTTCATGCACTATCATATACACAGAATACTTGTACAAATTATCTGCTACCATGCTACTAAAAAAAAAAAAGCTCTAATATCAAATAAGTTTCAAATTTCCCTAGGCAATTATATGCTAATTTCCAGAATCCACTTCGCCTGGTATTAGTCTTGCACGACGATGAAACAGGTGATCTCTCTAACCACTTTTAGGCAACCAGAGAGGTTTTGTTTTATTTATCCTGTTTCTGTTGACCAACAAAATTGGTTACATGGCTGGGCTTTGAGAAATCTGCACATGCATCTACTCTATCTGGCTTGAGCTGCCAGCTTCAAACTCTTGATTCTTATTCATTTTCCAAAGATGTGGAATATGAAAGGCCACATGGCTCCTGGCACGTATTATGTGTCATTCTTTACAGCGTTACTACCTCAGCTATGTTAACCTCCAGAATCAAGATAACCCCAGATGTGTGCATGGAGTGCCATCAACAAACTGTCATCTCCAAGGACTTATATAGAGTAAAAAAAAAAGGAGGCATTATGAAGGAGTTGCGGCCACTGGGAATTTGAGGTTTCAGAGTGATGTAGTTTTTGCTGGCAATCTTCCACTTTCAGAAAGCTGTTTTCCCAACTATGTTATCCTCTAACTTGAACCCTTCTTTCCCAAATCCTGCAAGGAGGTGGACATAGACACTAGTCCACATGGAGCAGCTAGCACAAATCAGTCGGAATGAGGGGCCAGCGAACATATAGCACAGGATTAAATATGAGATTCTCAACTGCCTGGGAAGTTTGCTTCAACACTTCATACGATGAGTAGGAAGGTGCAAAAAAAAAAAAAAAAAAAAAAAACTCATTCACTTCTGCAGAAGGAGAGAGGGGAAGGAGGACAATAATGTTCAAATGTATAACAACATTCTTGACAGCCCTGTGAACAAACATATTAGTTCAATTAAAAAATATATGCAACGTATATAATTTTTATAGAGGTAGACTTTTTTCTCACAGTTCCAATATTGTCTCTTGCAGTAAGCTCTTCTTTTTAATCATTTATTTAGATTATTCCAGTATTAAATTCCACCATGACTGAGACTTTTGCAGTATCAGAAGGGGAGGTAGGACTTGACGACAAAAGCATACCAGCAGTACTAGAAGGCTGTACTGGAAGCAAGAAAAGAAGTGGCACTCTTACTCCCATGTTCTGGCACTTCGTTAGATAGATATACTGGTAAGATTTAGTTCCACACCTGTATTTCGCTAGGGGACAATACAAGCCATATTCTGTTATTCACATATTTGAAGTAGAAGCCTTCTGAGGAACTCATGTTCAGACTCAGATTAATGACAGTCAGTGATCCCAAATTAGAGTTCAGATTTTAAATTGACAGCATCAAAACCTACTGAATTCTGGCTTCAGATATCAGAATATCTTGAATGTTTTCTGCTATCTATCATAGGCTCACGTACATAGAGAAGGAAACTGCAGAAGTGATATTTTAGGCACTCTTAAAGAAACTAATGCAAAATGATTTCATATTGACTGCAACAGATACAGATGAGGATTGGAATGACTATGACAAGAAGTTCTCACCACTTTATTATGCTATTGTCCTGTATACAATGATACACTTCTGAAACTCCAGGCAATAAAGTTTCAGAACTTAATTCTGATCAATTATGTTTTTAATTCGAAATAAGCAACACTAAAATAGACCTTTCCACTAATTTACCAAAATACTGCAAAAAGGAGGTAGGCAACATCCTAAAGTGACATATTTAGTGGTTTTATATCTTAGGCTCTCCAAAGGAAGTCAATGTGTAACACTGCAGTATAAAAAACAACCACCTTTATATTTTTTCTTTTTAAGTAAACCTGAAACCCTTAAATTCCTTGTTACAGTAAAAAGAAAAAAATAAAACAAAGCAAACACAAAGTCCTCTACTCTATATAACTATATTTCTGATTTGACAGCTACAATTATAATCATTCAGACATCTATTTCCCACAAACTCTCCACAGCCATAACCTTTAGTGATTAATTATAAAGTTCCAGGAGCAATAGTACACAGACTAATTTCCTAAAACAATAAAAGACAGAATTTCTCATTTGGAGCTAAATGAAACACGAGCAGGTTGTTATTCATGCTGAAATCTAGATGCAGAGTCATGTTGCAGCCATTACCAAAGCTATTAAACACAACCTCAAATCAAAGAAACCGTAGGTCTCGCTCCTAAAATAAAATGTTTTTCTCACTTACGAGGCATCTGACTCCTTTGCTGTGTTTCTTTTTCCCCCTCTTCTTAGTAAAAAAATTTCAAAAATCAATTTTCTTTCTCATTTCACATCCCCATTTTGTTTTTAATAGTCATTTAAACTGTAACAGTCTAGAGCAAAATAAACATTTGGTAAAGCTTTCAAGTACACAGAATTATCGTGGTATTCTCTTCACAGTGAATCAAAGTTACAAAGTGTGTATCAACTTCTGAACAAAGCGCGACTCTCCCCAGGCCTTCCTCAGTCTCCTATGAGTGTTCTAAAGTGAGTATTTGATAATTCCTCCCATATTTTGTATAGTAAAATAAGCTGTTCCTAGTTAATTTTTCATTCCTTTACGTTTTGCTTTGTTTTCTGACTCATCCTGCGGTCCTGCTTAATACAAACCTTTTAAAATGATCCTCCAAAGAGAGAGAGAAACCATGCGTTACAAAAATGATCTTAATGTTGGCATTGCAGATATTAAAAAAGAAAAATTGTGATTATTAGTATTATTTAATAGTGGTAGTCCTTTTTGTTAAGGACCTATTTCTCTGTCTGCAAGCAATGTGGTCATTCACTTCAGCAAATTCACCCTGGGTAATTTTACTGAATTAGGGCAATTAACAATGGGGAAAAACTGGGAAAAACTGGGAAAAGATCTTTACAAAATTGACACCACATCCTTATCCTTGGGCCCCACTGTAACTTCAGCGAAAGTCAATGGGAATTTTTCCAAATATTTAAACTGGAATTGAGTCAGTTCTATAACTCATTCAATTGCTAAGATACACAGAACTTTCATTTAATACGCACATCCTTGACATATTTTAGCAAGGTTTGTATGACAGTCCCCCATAAAACTTGTCAACGAGGTTACTCAAATAATATTATTACTGCACTGTAGATTCTCCCCATCAGAAGTATACAAATTTTGCAATAGCAAGTGACATACCTAACCATAAACAGAGAACTTAGCAAGCTTCTGTACAGCAGCTTTAAAAAAATACTAGTATTAGCGCCACATTTTTTCTATTTGAAACTTCCTTGCTTTTATATAGCAACTCTATCTTCAATCATATTTCTTAACATTCAGCGAAACCTCGTAACTTCATTCTGAACTACATACAGACTACAAGAGCTACACAAATTAAATACGCTCTTTCAGTGCTTTTTTTTTTTCTGAATTCAATATGCACTAATTGATTAGGGTCTGAGAGGTGAAAAAGAAATACGTATTCTACATAATAGAAAGCTGGGGAAGGGTTTAATGCATGAATTAGAAGCCAGATTTCTTCAATACAGATGAGTACACAAAATTAGCAAAAGGCAACACCACTTTTGGAAAGACTGCTTTGTGCGTAATTTGTCATGAATTCAAAGTTATTCCTTTAGAAAATGAGTCTAAGACCTCCCAGCTGCCGCTTTATTGGTCTAATAAATTACCATTTTGATGGTACAATGCATGTACACTATACACCATCCAAGCAACAAAACTACTAGAGCAGTTTTGTCCTTTGAGATGCATGTGTGACTTCCAGAGACATGTGCATGCCAGGGGGAGTTCTGAATGCAGGAGAGATCAAATAATCGCCCTGTTTCTGAACTGGTAATGAAAAGAAAGGATACCTAAACTTTTAAAATGGAAAGAGTATAATACTGAAAGAGGAGAGTTTGTGTCAAAAGAGGTGAGTCTAAAAAGACCTGACCTTATTGTTACAAGTATCCAGCAGCTATCTTAAAAAGAATGAATCTATCTTACTCTAGATTCTCCACGGTATCCCAAAAAGCCCTTTTCTATACACCTGAAAAGCTCCTAACGCGATTCCAGTTGGGTAGGCTGTACCAAACATTTATCGTGACCCTATTTCATAGTTCTGGTTAGCAAACATCCATTCAAGGAAAGAACAAAATGCTGAAAAGCTAAGAATTGGTAATTTACCATTCTCTACTTTACCTTTCTCCAGTGAACTGTGGTGACTCATAATGAGTTCCAACAACCTAATGCTTTGGAAAATTTCCATAATTTACAGGAAAACTCCAGAGTCAATGTTTTATTGCCAAGACAGACGTCTTTCTTTTGTTACTAAGAACGTATTTAGAGAATGGTTTAGAATGTCTGTGTTTTTACATAATGAAAACAATCCTTCTAAAAAAAAAAATAAGGTAGATGTCCGTTAAGAGGAAGATTAGAGCACTAGGTGAAGTGATTTTCAGCTGTGAACCAGGAAGGAAAGCTTACAAAATAGAAGAGCACAAGAATTTTAGACAGATTTTCAATTTTGTTTCCCATGCACAAAAATAGGTGTTAGAGCTCTCCTCCAGCTTGTATGCACAGCATTACTTACCTGCATTAGAATTGAGTTCTTCATTTTCTGATTCTGTTCCATTTTGACTTCCACTTCCATGAAGGCTGTTCATCGCCATAAGTTTCATCTTCTGTAACTTCATAGCCTCTGCCATGGCAGCTGCTGTCAAGCCTAGAAAGAAATATAAGTAAATAAAATACAATATCATACGATACAACACAACACAGAAAAATACGAAAAATCAGACAAAGTCCTTTCAGTGAGAATGACTAAGTCACATAAATTCAATATACATTTCTTCCCATTATATACTATTATTCCAACTATATTCTATTACCCTTACTTTAAAATCATTTGGGTTATTCCAGTACAGCATTCTAAGTTTTCTTTTTTTAAATTCTCTCATGTTTCCTCTTAATATTTATTTTTACAGGAAAATATTTATAGAAATAAGAAATAAGAAATATTTATTTAGTGTTATCCATTTTGATTATAATTTTAAATATAATTTCCTGTCATTTTGATCACTTTGTCACTTTGATCATATTCTGCTTGACTCATTTAGCTGCCAAATACTTCCAAGTAAACTAGTAAGATATAGTAGTCCTTAACTTCAACAGCTGGAAGCCTATTAATATGGAACAATCAATCCTGCAGTATTATATACCAAAAAATTATCTAGTTTGTTGATCTGGATATAATTATTGCTATTAGAAAATATTACATTGGAAATGTTAGAAAAGTACAATTTAGGTTACTACAGACTCAATCCCACCTGAAAAAGATCATGACAAATTTACAGAACTTAGGGTTGTAGTGGTAGATTTTCAAGCGACTAAAAACCAGTTAATTTCCAATAATAAAAGAAAAGGAGTAGAGTAGGGTGAGGCTTCCATCACACATTGTTCTTTAATTTAGATTCTCTTTCTTTTTTTTTTTGTAAGAAGAGTAAACTTTACAAGTTTTATCATTCTGACTTAGTCAAAAAGTAAGAAATCAGACATTCTTCTAGACAGACGCAAATTGCTTTTATTGTGGACAAGATGCGACTGAACATCTCTTATTCGAAGAAGTTCATCTATATAGCACGAAAATATAGGGGGATAAGGCCATGTAACGAAAAACAACTCTACAGGCATATTTATTTGTTCACTCAGTTACAGATTAAACGGGCTTTACTATCTTCCCCCTGTATACTATGCCTTGTTTTGCCATTTACTACAAAGCAAACTAAAAGCTTCGTATCAGCTATCTTGTGATTGACAGTGCAACAGTTCCACAAAACCACTGAATGCATTTACCAAAAAAATACGATTTTTTGTTGGTGGTGCATGTTCTATAAAACTACAAAGATGTCGTATATCAAAACAGAATTAAATAATCTGCTGTTTCTGGAAAGTATTGCTTACTGAGAGACTAGATACTGATTAAAGTGAACTAATAACTTTCACAACCTGCACTGCCACACATCCTTAAATTAAAATACTTTGTTTTAAAAGCTGCTGTGAACTTGACATTTAGATTAGTTGCGCTGCTCCTGTAAAAGGCTTCATGAAAGTTCTGAATATTTTAATATGACCTAAGTAAGCAAGCAAGCAATAGACTCCAACTGCACGGTGGGGGGGACATATATTATCATACCTAGATACAGCAATCCTGTTAACTTCAGATAAGATATTCCTAATTAATATCAGTAAGTTGGAGATGACAGGTTCTGAAATGAGAGCTGTTGAAGTCCTCTTCTCTCCAGTCATTCTATTCTTCTCCTTCTATCTTGCTTAAGAGCCTCTCAGCATTCACGAAAATAAACTGCAGCTACACACTCCTATAATCCAAAAGCACGGATGCCAGATCTAACAAATATCTCCTATTTTAATTAGGCACTTGTTTTACAGTTCCGTCATTTATATGTGAAAAACTGTACTGACTTCATTTTAAATATACACTAAATACATATATATATATGTAAAGTTCAGAAAGCAGCATCACCAGTCTTGTTCAAGTCTTTTAATGCAGTTGTTTACACACCACCCAGAAGAGCACTATAGCATAACAGTACTCATTTTTGGTTTTAAAATAAAATTGCTCCAACTTCCTTTAAAGTTCGTTTGCAAATGCTATGGCTTTTTCATTAATCAAGTAAATATCAAACCCTGATGTTATCACTTCCACTTTTACAAAATCTTTGGCTGACATCACTAACACCTAATCCATCACAGAATATATCTTAAACGATAACACTGTTCCAAGAACCAAAACCTAAACTTTCAGGAACAGATGAAATATTTTATAAACTTGTCACCATTTTTCCAGGGAAAGGAAGCAGGATTGCTCATTAAGTGAATTGCACGTTATTTTCAGCAACTTCAAAAAAGAAGCATCAATACATGTCTTCTGAAGAATTTACTACGGCAAGATTTCTAGGCATCTATGTGATTTGCTGGCCTACCTGAACATCTAAACTCCTGCTCCTTATCCTAACCAATTTCAAGTTTTGACCTACATTCATCGCTAAAACTTTTTCAGAGCTTGTACCCACTCACGGCCCATTCTGTTTTAACTTTTTAATTCCGATCCATTTACAAAGAATTCACATTTATTTTAAAGGTTATGAAAGACAAGAGAGTCTGGATATGGAGTTTTTTATCATAACATTTTATCACTTATATGTACCCAAATATGTACAGATGAACCACTGTCCCAAAAAGTATTTTCATCTGGTTCAGTATTTATACCTATTCTTGACACTCTAAGTGACAGCACTTTACTCAATTTAACTATGTAAAAGAGTAAAGAACCTATTCATAAGGTCATAAACACAGAAAGGAAAGCGATTTCAGACCTTTGTTACAAAGTCTAGTCAAAAGTAAAGACAAAACATTATACAGGGGCCTATATAGAAACAACTTCTACTGAGCAGTTGCTCTAGAGGCATAAGGAAGCTGGAAAGTGCACTGAGGAACAAACAGAAAGGTTCCAAAATCACCACAATGCAGCCTGCAGAAATTAAATGTAATTATTGTCAGGCATTTTTGCGTTCCCTAACCGGACACAGCTGCTATAAGGACAAAAGCCAAAAAACTGATGTATCAGAAATCTATGTTGTGCCATCTTGCCACACCAAAGTAACTCTACTTTGGCATTAGAAGTTTGAAAGGAAAGCACAGTATGCTTTACCTAACGTAAGAAGCACGACAACCTAAAGATCCTGAGCAGTCAGGCATAAAGTGGAAGCAAATATGGCCAATACTATCTGTAAGTTCAATTTCAGTGAGGTCTTTATACTCCCATTCAGTCCTTCCCCAGCCTGTATTATTTGTTGTTTGAGTTGTGGTAATACTAGGAGCCCCAGAATCTGAACGTATGAGGCAACTGAAATACATCGTATTAATTTCTCAACGTTTCTGAAAGCTAATAAAATTGAGGTTAAAATAAATGGTTTCAGCAGTAAGGGATTACAATAGACTGAAATGATGGAACAAAATGTACAGCAAATCACCCATTGACATAATCTTCAATTAAGGCTATTGCAGAGGCATTACTGAAGCTACTACTTACATTAACGTACAATAAAACTCTTTTCTATAACTGACTCAGGTCTGGCTAGCTGTGGCAAAGAGGGCTATTCTTCAACTGACTTATCTGAAGAGCTACAAAAACTGCATCCTTTCCATCCTACTGCATGAATCATTATCAGTAAAAGAATCTTTAACTTAGAGTACCTCGCTTTGAAAAACGTACTTGGACACTGCTGCAAAGTATACATCTATCCCTCTACTTTCACCTAAAAAAAAAACCCCCACCATCACTAGGAAAGCAGACATGCTGGATTACATACTTCAAAGCTTTCAGCTTTTTCTCCCCATTTACACTTCAAATCCTCTTCCTTTAGCTATCTTCTCCCAGCTGTTATCAATCACTAAACACCCAGAAAATAAACTGTGTAACACTTACGGTTAAACACACACAACCTTTACAATGTTAACAAAAAGAAAAATGCATTAGTCTAATCAGAGTCACAATGACCTGTTTTCAAAACTGCTAGCAATGATGTGGCCAGTGTAACCAGCTCTGCTAACAGTAGCCCACAATCTGCTGGTGACCTTGGCTGAAAGGCAGCAGCGTAGTGCAGAAATCTCCCAGCCACGATCTGGGTCAGCCCTTTATAATCTTGACTACAATTGCGTAACAAATTGTGATGGTATGTGCTCTGATACAACTGCATCGTGCATATGGCAAAACAACCAACTGCCATTAGTAATCTTCATTCTATAATTTAAGTTTTGTCAGGACACTGTGTACTCTCCCTTTGACCACTCTGCAAAACCCTACTAGACAACACGTTAACTTAGCCCTGAAATAAATCTTCAAGGAGACAGAAACTAGCGCACTTGATGCTCAAGCTGAAACAAAGGGAAATTCTGAAATTGTATTTTCAGCCTCAATGAAAATATAATTTAGTACCGCACAGTTTTTTGTATCATGGTTTTTAATCAAGATTAGGGCCGTATACTCAACATTGCATGCTGCAGCGCCCTGGGGAAGACCTGCTGCTAGCGGGATGTTGGAGATTCAAGTCCTGTAGTGTATTACAAGACCGGATTGCTCCTATCAGGACCAGACTTCCCTGAACACTGCTCCTCCTGTGCTCCCAACGCCAAGCTGTCTGTAGCATTTGAGATGATGAACACCAGGAAGGTTTCTCCACCTCTCTTCTGCATCCTGTTACGGCTACTGCTTAACTGTCTACTCAAATACCCTTTACACAGACACAAAGATTACTCCTCCATGAAGTTTCAGGAAATATTTCAACCAAAAGGAACTTTTACTGCACGGCCCGAAGACCACACTCCATGGTCTTTGGTACCGCCCTCACCCCCTGCCAGACTCCAGTCATCCATTACAGGGAAATGCAGAACGTATGCCAGGACACCTGACAACGGGGGACGGTCTCAGGCCTTGAGTAAACATCGTAACCTACAGATTAGCAAATATCTTCTTGGAGACATAAGAAACCAACACTCTGTTACCTTCTTGCACCGAGGTACCTAGGGTATCGTGAACATAAGTGAATCCTCCATGTTTAACTGAGGTCCAGTCATCAAAAATTTGATTTGGATTGTAAATACAAGGACCAAGTCAGTTCTCTGAGTATTTTAAGGTGACCCTTG